TTTAAGCTGACATGTAAAAATGAACTCACATTATTCTTACTATGATGGTTATTCTCATGAATGTCGGATCAATAATGAGAACTGTCTATGCGTATATTATTCTAATTAATGCTGTAAAACAGGTTATAAACAGATTTTGTTCATTATTCATAGTTAACTTTGTGAAGAAAAATTTAGCGATAAACATATTCAACAAAAATATGTGTTAATGTTTTTGTCCAATTTTTTAAACGTTTGAAAGTACTGATCAGAAAGATGGATGTGCACTACTGAGGAGTCCTATACTGAGATGAAACGGCCGCCCAGTGCTATCAGGTTTTCCAGGGTGTTCAAGCTTTAATAGACTCATGAATTCAACTATTAAATAGTTATAATAATTGAGTGGAAGTTATTTTAGCGCATAGAAAATTTATATGATCTATCAAGTTAAACTTTGTGCTTATTTGTGGTAAATGAAAATTTCGTGGATTAGTTGAAGTTGGACATTAAAACCGTTGGATGTCAGCTCAGTGGTCTAGAGGCTAAGCGTTCGCTCGTGAGTCCGATGGGTCTTAGGTTTGAATCGCGCGGGCGAGAACGTGCATGCACACTGCTGAAAAGTTTCATACTGAGATGAAACGGCCGTCCAGTACTTCCAGGTTTTCCATAGTTGTTTAGCTTAAATTGGCTCATGAACTAAACCATAAAATGAAAAGTACCTTTAAAAAATAAAATATATGATATTTAAGTGTGAATATAAAATCATTGTTGTTCAGGGTTAAATTATACAAATAATCATAGGTGAGAAGAAACACTTACAGCCTTTAATTGTAATGCTGAACACTTCTAAGTTTCATGTGAATTGATCGACTTTTGGATGGGGATTTTAATGAATTGTAAGTTTTGATACGTTTTACTTTAATATAATTGATGTTGGCTTGTAAAACGATCATAGGTTTTAAACAAATCATTATTATTAAAAGGTGGTACGGTTTGGATTTGTTTTGATTTGCTTTATAAATTTGTCATAATTAAAAAAAGTACATTTCGAGATTGGATTTCATAAATTTCTCCAAACGAACGAATGCTAAACACTGGGTAAAGATTTTCATTCCAAGACAAATGGTATACATTAAACTTCACACGTTAAAAACATTATGTCATGTAAAAATGTTTGCTCACATGTGATGTTTAATTTGTTTGGAGGTTAATCAAAACCATTAAAGGAATTATTTTTTATAAGGTTTTTAATGTGATGGATATTTTTGTCTTCTATTCTAAATTTTGCGCTGCGTCACATGCTGCGTCCCGAGTTAAGTATACTTGGTCATAGTGAAGGTTATTGGATGAATTATTGTAATATTAGTTACCAATAATGTGGGTTTAGCATTCAGTAACTTCTGTTAATTTCTTTTACAGTTATTTCAGTAACACTTTACATCTAGCGTTCTTATTCAATATAAAATGTCATGACTAAAAATTACCTCTTAAAAAATTTGTTATGTAACTGATTTTAGAAGCGATGTACAATTGATGCGACAAGATCACCAAATGCAAGTTATATCTCAACAGTTAGTCGGATATATTGTTTCTGACAGTTCCCAACAAGTTTTGTTCTTCCTGTCAATTAATTATCATTTTAAGAGAAATGAAATCTGGTTTGTTATGATATAAAATCATGTAGTTACTTAACCTTTTAACTATCTAGAAAGCTATGGTAGATAACATCTGTGCATCGAGTTGACCAGTGATACCCTTATTTAATTTGTTACGTAAAAGACAGTCACATGAGACTTCCAGTAAGCTTTAGACCATTTAAACACAGAGATGTATATGTGGTCTTGTTATTGTAAATGGATACTATAAATAGTCGTGATAATGGATGTCAAGTGATGTTCGTTTGATTAAAATATAACTGATAATGTCAGGTTCAACAAAAGCCAAGACTTTTGTCATGGATTATGTTAGTTGTTTAAAATCTACTGTAAAAGTAACTCATTAAATAACTAAAATCATCTTATATGCCTTTCACATGTAGAGGGATGTAGAAAAAGATTCTAAATCTGGTTATAGTTCAACATTTATATACGACTAGTTCGTGGAAAAATGTCAAGATTATGTAAGAACCATCAAGGAAGGATTAGTGATTGGGATTTATTTAAACTGATTTGAGATGAATGGAAAATCTAGTTGATCAATTGCGCTTGACACTAATAAAATATCATTGCGAAATAATACTAACAACATTCTTGAAAATACGCACAAACAATTGAATTTTCAATTCTATATGAGAAATATATTTAAGCAGATTTAAAAGATTTATTTATTAGAGACTATTAGAAGTTATAGGAAAGCAACAGACTTTCTTGAACAATCTCTGTAAAAATAATAGGCGTTAAAGACAGATTTTCTGTTGTTAATGAGCTGCAGTAGTTAGTTAGTATTTAAAAAGATACTTGCGTGTGTATTGCTTATAACAGTCAGATATTCGTGCGACACATAGTTTTTCATGAACGTCTAGTGTATACTCTTCAGAATGTACTAAATATTCTTGTCTATTTTAGTGAAACATTTCTGAAATACTTTTTCTCTTATACTCACATATAAATATACATTCTTTAAATTTATTAAAACAAAGACATGTTCAAAGAGGAAGAATGTATTTGTAAAATCTCAGCTAAAGAAGTTGAAGTAAATCCACCGTTTCTCCTGGCAATCTGGTCCAAGGTTTTTAAAGGAAGTGTAATCAAACATCAAAATTATCGAATATAAATAGGTACATGGTTCTCCCGTTCACTGTAAATCTCAGTGAATGAATTTTAAGTAAAATTATTGATAATTTTGATGTTTGCTTATGTTTCCTTGAGAATGCTTGAACTAGCTTGTCAGGCAAAACGTTGGATTCACCTCATATTCTGTCGCTGAGATTCTACAAATACATTCTTCCTCTTTAATGTCTCATATCAACTAGGTGTCCAAATACTGTGAAACTATTTTATCAAGTTTAGACGAAAGTTCTTATTTAAAGACTCCTTTAGTTTAATCAAATTAATATTTTTTGAAAAGTGGTTGTCTGAAAAAAATGTGAATAAACCTTGATATCTGTAATGGTTTGGATTAGCCTGTTTTTTTATAAACGATTTGTTTACAAACTTTTAAATAACTTTATATAACTTATGGGCATCTTCTGCAGATTGATTCGATATAGCCATCATATCAAAATTTTCTGTTGAACTGATGGAACATGTCTAACAGCGGAATCCAGAGAGTGAGTTTCGTTGTAATTTAAACTGATTATACATTCAGTTCAAATAGACTCTAACTAGTATAACGTGTATGAGTTCTATTATAACTCAATCCGCTGTAGATTTTTTTGTATAAAATTTATATAAACTGAGACAAAATTCATATTTCATAGTAATTTCATAGTTGAAATCATGAGATAATTAAAGTTAGACTATCATGGAAAACCTAGAAGTGAATGACCGTTTCATCCTATTGTGGGACTCTTCATCAGTGGATATCCACGATCCCGCCTCACGAGATTTGAACCCAGAATCTTTCAGTTTTGCGGGTGAACCCTTTACCTCTAGACTACTGATCTGACATTTAACAGTATTAATATCAAACTTCATCTAATCCACGAAATTGAGCGACACGTCCAAATTCCATGGTGGTCAATCTTCAATTACCTTATGATCTCAACTATTGAAATTACCATAATATCCACAAAAACCAATACTGATATTAATTTCATAGTCACTTCAAATAGAATCATTCTGTTAAAAAAATACAATGATATCTATTTGAAAGTATTAATTTATTACTTCATTTGTTTTACAAAATTACAAGGTAAATTTTATTATTGTTCATATAATTTTTATTTCATATTTCATATATTACTTTTATCTTATATTATCACTTAATTAATATATATCTATATCTATATCTATCTATCTATCTATCTATATATATATGTATATATATATATATATATATATATATATTCCTTTTAAACAGCCTACAATTTATTAAAATAATAAGTACGTAAATAAAAATCACAATGACTATTAATTTCTTTTGTTACTTGTCCAAAAAATGATAGACTAATATGTTTTTTTCTCTTTTTCTTTTTCCTTTTTTTTTAAAAAAGACATGGAGAATATACATTAAAAAAAATCAATTGAGAAAAATAAAACTGTCTAAAATCTTCATGTTCTATAATCAATTATATTTATAACTTTTTATATATATATAAAACTGTGAGTAAAGTATGGTTTATATAGGGAAAGAACAAAAAAAAAACAAACATTGAATTTAATTTATGGAAATAAATAGTAATCATTAATTATCAAATCATATTTGTATTTTATCTCATATTGACTATTGCTTATATATAAAAATATATATAATGTATAAATAGGTTATTATTGTTTTATTTTATTTTTCTTATTCTTATTTTTTTCAATTTTGCAATTAAAAACAGATAGAAAGCGGAATATTTTTCTTTTATTAATACATGATTGGTCATCTCTTAGAGAAAAAATTAGTTGTTTATTAATATTATTATTATAATAAATAAATTAACTATTCTATTATATGTAAGAGAATATTTTCTTAATTAACCAATCACAAAATTTGACAAAAGTATATAAATATGTCTAGTGTATATTTAGTGTAATATCATGCATAACGTGATATAATAACTATAGATATATATTTACATAGAAGAATAGTTCATAAAGTGAAGTTAAATTTTCTATTAATTTTTCTATAAAACACTGAATTGTTTAATTCGTTCCCTTCATTAATTATAAAACTATCTGTTTATATTTAATTATTATAAAAATATTCTTTAAAAGAGAAAAACAAGAGTGAGAGCTAGAGAAAAAAAAAGAAAAAACAAAACAAGCACAATAAACCTAAGAATATTTATACTGTATGTATATACATATATACAGAGTTTATTCATAAATATGAAACAAATAATTGAAATTATCACTTTTCTGATTTTATGTTTAATGGCTGAATATATGCCAGTTGGTCAAAGTGTTTCATTAAAACAGGTTAGTGATTATATATAACATATTTTTCTTAAAATTGTTATTATATAGTAATTTTTATTCTAATTTTATGTTTAATCATTTGCTTATTATTAAAGTCATGTGATGTATGCTTTTTATAGTTGAGTTTCTGTTTATTAATTGTCAACAGGCAATTCTTGTGGTATTTTATATTTAATCTGCTGAATAAGTAGACCTTTTTAAAAGATTTTGTTTTCTAGCATTTGCTCAAAAGAAAATGTGTTAGCGCACATTTCAAATGGCTACTTTGCAAAGTAAATATTTCCTTTATATATATATATATATATATATATATATTATTCTCACCATTTGAAACGTATTGAATTTTGTTTAGCTTTTAATAGTTTACTAAGTGAACTAGCTTACACAACTCTTAATTACGTTACGATATATTTTAAAATGTCTAATTGTTTATAATTGTAGTTTAAGCAAAATAAAATAATGAGATCTACTAATCATTGAATGATTAAGGTTGCCATTTTTAAAATTTCACTTGAAACAAATGTTTACATAATTTTATTTCATCAGTATCCAAGAAAATGAAAGCGGAGTTTATTGCTGTTGTTTTATTCAATTTCATTAAACGCACATATATATGTATTTTAAAGAATATGATTATGTGAGATCTACTGTTTGCTTTTCCTGAATATTCAGTCCTAATCGATTATTTTATTCATCTTTGCTGTTAACATCTATAACCATTTAAGCATAAGAATAAAAAAATTTCTCCAAGTGCATATGCTTAATGACAAAATTTATCGAGTACAAAGTAAATTTACACTTATGTAAAAGTAGCAGGAATGAAGTATTTTCTCGTAAAAAATTCCAACTATTTGTAAATAATAAATAAACTTTATTTTTGTAAACAAATAAACAATTTTTTTCCAAATTAATCAATCGTTATGCAGTTAGGTGTTAAATACAGATATATATATATTTCTAATAGGATATTTTAAGGAAACTAAAATATTTCAGCTTATCTATATAAAGAGAGTTGTATATTGAACAGGTAATTTTTTGAAAATCCTTCTATATACATAACAATAGATTGAGATGTCTTATTATTAATAATTACTTTATTTAATATCATATTTTTAGTACAATATAGAATTCCCAGCACAATTTATTTTATCAAGCTTGCTATCCTTACTTCTTCATCTATCCTGATGATAAATATTGAGTTTACCACTAGTTAGATATTAGTAGTTCAGGAATCAAAATCTGAACAATAATAATTTTTTCTAATACATCCAACATAATGTCGCTGATTGTACTTGTTTGTATGTTTTACAGCGAAAGATTGTAAATGTTTCATCAATACGCCTAAATAGGTTATGTAAATTAAAGCCATAATAATGTATTAAACTAAAGATAGATAACTTGTTGAGATATGTTGATGTCCAAAGAAACAAATAGCTCAGATATTCAAGTAAAAGCTGCCAAATTATATTCCATATAAATAACATTGAATTGACAAGTCAATGACTGAATCAAATCGATGATTTGAATTTCATCGGTAATTATTATTCATAGCATTATTAAATATTTTAAATTTTACAATTCAATATATCATCATTTATATAAAAATGTATGTATATAAATAATAATTATTGTTTTATACATAATAGAATCTAAACAAGAAGTTTTCCGTTAAAAAATAAACAAATAAAAAAAACAAGATAAAGGTTACTTTACAATGTTTACCACTAAATGATTAACATTATAGTTACAAGTAGAATATCTCTGATAAACAAAATTTATTTTTAACTTTATACACTTACCATATATTCAATATAAAGTTTTATTTTTTCATTTTTTTAAATTTGAATAACATATTAAATAAATAATTGAAAACCAAAAGAATTAGAAAATAAATTGAACTTTAAACAATTTAGAATTTGGCAAACAATCCAAAAAGTAAAAATTAAAACGAAGAAAAAAGAAGAAGTATTATTGATTATTGAACTATTTTCAAATTATTCTTTATTAATTTATTTACGTATCCATAGATGTTTAAAAAAATGTTCTTTTTTTGTCAAAAAAAAATACAAACAAACAAACAAAAACAAACAAACAATTTTATTTTATTAGATTAAATTACGTTGAACTATACATGTGAAAATTATTAATTAAAAAAGGGAAACTGTAAACAAAAAAATATTGAAACGTAGTTTAAATTGAATATATATTCAATGAATTTCATTTAAGTGATTAAAAAAGAAATTAGAATTTATTGAAGAGAATTGAATTCAATCATAGACTGGATAAAATTTCTAAGAATTCTAAGATAGTAAATGAATTGAAAATACGCATTTTAAATATTAAAACAAATGAAATTTAATTACGTTGTTCATCTGTTTTTTTTTCTTTTTTTATAACATTCGTTGAAATTCTATCCTTATCAAACTGGTACTATTGACTATACATCATTACTTTAAGTTATAGAAAAAGAAATAGCACATTTAGAAAGGAAGACATATTATATATATGTATTAAGTTTTATGTATTTTTTATGTAGTGAATATGATATAATAAATGAAACTGAAGGATATTAGTTAAACTTCGTCTACTTATCGAATAGTTAGTTAATGATTAGAACATATTACCTGAACAGATGGTATCAACTTCATTGGTGAATATTTTCCAGGGGAAATTAGTCTTACCTTTGAAAACATATTATAAACATTGATATATAGGTCGACAAACCTTGTTATATCCTAGTGAAGAATTAATTACAGGTCACTGCCAAGAACTATTAATGGACTAATATTTTATGAATATTCTTATTGTATAACTATTCAATAATTAGGTTATATATATTAATATTCCTCTTATTATAAGCTTCGTTTTGACCTATAGATTATTATAGTACGATTTACTGTTCTTAAGTTATACTCAGTTCATGAACTACTGTCTCCCACGTTCACAACCACTTTTCGGCTTTATTGTGTACAGATGTTATTCCCTATTTCATAATGCGTTGAGGTCTGTTTGGTTGATATGTAAACCCAGTATGTCTTAAATAAATGATTCGTTTTGATTCGCGTAGTGGAGGCTGTTGTTGGCATTCTGGACTCAACTGGACGGGCTAGGCGAGCGACGGACCAGTAAGACGCTAGGCTGTTCAAACCGGTCGAACGTCATTGGTTTAGTACATCATAGGGGCGAATAAATCGTATTTTGATTATCGAGTAGATTAAGTGATAACAGGCGGCTTATAAAGTCACAACAAACCTTATATTCTCTATGCTGATTATCGAATAAAGATTTAAGAGAATTACTCATTAACGAATAATAATAATAATACGATTTTATAACTAGATTATTTATCTAATTCGGTATTCTTGTTTCCATATCAATATAGTAATTTTAATATTGATATTATCTGTATTACTTTAATTTTTTTTTCATTGTTGAAAGAAATCATAAATGTCAAACATATTTCTCATTAATAAGTTGTTCATTCAAACTTGTATGACTTTTTTAATTTTGTTTATTGAAAACTATAATCTAACCAATAATTACTACTTATAAACTATTCATATTAATATTTATTATTATTATTTTGCTTGGTCAAATTTATGAATAATTTACGATGCAAATTATAAAAAAGTCACATAAACATTGTAAATTATTATTGATTAATATTGCAGTGATTTATTTCCAAAAAAAGAAGATATTCTGCTTTAATACACTGTAAAACGATAAGTATTGGTTTTGAATGGTTATTTTTTTGTGTTGAAAATAATAAAAAAGAAATTTATCTCATGTTTTACACTTAATTTAAATGGTATTAGTTGATGTAGTATTGGTTGCTGATTATGTTTCATTAAAAATACGTCAGTTGCATTTATTAGTATTTCACTGTTAATGTTCATAATTATACCAGAACCCAGTAGTATTCGCTTCATTACTGAGTTATCAATTAGGCATTACATTGTTCAAGGATATAAATTCTCTTGGTCGTTGTTTGTATTTTTCGAGATATTGATATTGATGACTGTACTTAATCAATCTTTTTAGTATGCGTACATGGTGATTGGATCGTCTCAATATTGCCATTTAATAACACGATTTCTATTAAAGTTAAATTATGAAACAATAATAGTTTATTTGAACATTTGTCATGAATAATCACTTTATCATTATTAAAACAGACGATATTAGTGAAGTTTGCAAATAAACTTTGTATCCATAGCACAAACTACTGTCTATTCGAAGTCTGCTTTTACGAAAAACACGTAAAAAGATAATAATTATTATTATTTTATCCTAGTTGTTCAAAACTGAATAATACTTTTCTTATTTGGAGGCATGGGTAAAATAAAACTGAAAAATATTAGCATTACTCTAACGACCACTTCTGTTTAATACCAAATCGTAGTAGTTTAAAAATGGAAAATGGATCACGGTTGATATGAATAAAACGTAAAACTGAGCTGTCGTACACTATAATCATTTTGTAGAAATTTTTACAACTTCATTTATTCATTATGTTCTTGTCGAGAATAACTACGAATATGCTATTTTGCTCCTTACTCCTTCGAAGTTTATATTTAAAAACATCAAAATGTAGTCTACTTTGCTCGCTTAATCATATTTATTTTCATTAATATTCATATACTTAATAGGTAATGGTAATCAGAGAAAGCCTGTAAACTTTAGTTGTATGTATGATAGAAATTATTACTAGTTGAAAAGAGATTTGACCATAAAAAGTATTGTTTCTTACACAAAATTTAAATGTTCATCAGCTATTTTAGTTAATGGATAAAGAAACACAACACTACTCTGAATTCATTGTATTTTTTGCATAAGATTATTCTGGTTACTGATCTTAAAATTGATCCTTTTTGTTTTCTCTTTTTTTTATTATCTAGTTCGATCCAGATAATGAAGCACTTATTAATGAATACTTTTCATCAGAAAAAGTTGATGAAGCTGCTGAACATTGTTTACGTTTAATTGGTAGTAAAACAATTGTATCACACAATAATCATAATTATAATAGTGATGAAAATGATTTAAGTTATGCAGCACGTAAATTAAAATGGAGAAATTGTATTCTAAAAGAATTAGATCGTATTAATCGTGGTTTATTTTCATGGAATATTGGTTCATTATTTAAATATAATAAAGATATGAATACGGTAGAATAAATTCAATAAATCGATTATTATTAAACAAATTGAAATATAAAGATAAACAATAGAAAACAAATAGTTTAAAAGAAACTATATTTCTTTTTCAACTTCAAAAAACAAACAAACAAATAAACAATTACTACTCAATACTAATCACCATCATAAATGAAGATATTACTTGTAAAATTGTAATGAATTTTATACCTGATAAATATTATTCTATATCAATATTTCGTTTTCTTTCAGTCTAATGTTTACTCATACATAATAATATTGATATAAACAAATTATTTACACTTTACTTTATACCCCTATTTTATTCATTATTAAGTATCTGAGTTAAATGTTTTATGAATTTCTTGTTTCCTTGAATAAAAATATCAAATAAATTATTGATCATAATTAGGAATAATAAGCAACTCTTCATGAAATGTTTATACTACTGAAAGTTATCTATAATTTTATAGATTGAAAAATAAAACTAAATAGTTTAACATAACAAGATCAAATTGGTGAATCTTAAGTATTTCCTGATCTATAAGCCTGTTAGTTTACCATATCCTATTTGTTTACATGTAGCTTCTCTTGTAATATTATCTAAATCATTATACATTACCTATAGATCTAATAATTTTGAATAATTTGTATAAATAACCTTTACTGTTTAATTGATGTATATATATATATATACATATAACTCATGGTTAATAAATATTAAATTTTATATAGATATTAGCAAAAAGTCCAAAAACTAAAAGTCAAATAATTGGAACTCGAAAAAAAAAGTGATTCAACTAGACACATCTCGTGATTTTCACCGAATCGCCTCCCTTCGAACACGTAACAATTGTTTATTTTGTCTATAGTCGTCACTTATACAAAGGAAATTATAAATGTTACAGATATATATATATATATATATATATATATATATATATATATATATATATAAATCGGCTAAATGCATTTATAAAAAGACTGAAAACCTATTCACTTACAAGTATATCCATTAATCAGATCTCTTTAAGAAAATGTCCATATATAAACATATTTCTTCTGATAAAAATATTATAGAAAAAAAATTGTTTAACGAAATGTTATATTTTTAAGACACTTAATTATAGACATTTAGCATATGGTGTAAATTTTCCTTTTTAGTATTAAGATGAATAAAAAAATTAATAATAATAATAATACTAATAATGAACTGATCTACCACACTGATGACTAAATAGTAGAACACGTGCCATAGATGAAGTAGATTGAGAGAGAGAAAAAATAAGAGAAACAAAAACAAACAAACAAACGGCGATACAATTAACAATTAAGTAATGAATAAAAAGAAATAATAATTTGGTTTAATGTATAAATTCATTTGTTTTTTAAGATTAAAAAACATCATATAATTGAAGTTAAATGTTTATTCTTTACATTAATTTACACTGATTTAAATAGATTTAGAAAAAGTTATTATTATTATGATTATTGATATTATTATTTAGATAAATGTGTAGTTTAATGTTTATGATGATAAATGATTTTTTAGATTTTCTGCATCATTTTGTACACAAGACTGATAAGTCCTGGGTTCGAATCTTGCGCGGGTGGGATCATGGATGCGCACTGATGAGGAGTCTTAGAATGTGATGAAACAGTCATCCAGTGCTTTCAAGTTTTCCATTATAGTTTAACTTCGATTGACTCATGATTTCAACTATTATAATGAATATGAATATTGTTAGACATTATGACTAAATTTGTACTATATTAAATTAGATAAGTGTTAATTAAGATCGATGATAGAAATTTATAATTACAATTCTGAGTAACATTCATTGTTTGCTTTTATCAAAGTCATTTAAAGAGGATTCATTGATTTATATATATAATATTACCAGTACTATTATTTTAAAGTTAATTATAAAAAATAACTTCACTTGGTATTAATGTTTAGCACTGCAATTGATCAGTCATTTATTGGCATATGTGCATTCTGTGTAAATTGTTTCGATATCGTCTTAATTCACAAGCATCATAAGCAAACACGGATGATAGCTAGCAGTGAAATCCAGGACTGAAGGCAATATCGAGGCAATCCACACAGAATCCATATATGCCGATAGGTGACTGATCAATTGTAGTCCTTAAACAACAATGGGGAAGATTCAAGTAAACAATACAAAGTGAATTTAAACTTCAACCATTTGCATAATCGAGTGGCTATCAGGACTTAGTAGATAAGTGGATAACGCGATGTCATTTGAAGTGAGCGGTACTGGGTTTGAGTTAAGGGCGAACATCAACTCTGAGATGCAGGTACATCTAGCTGACTAGTCCAATCTTTGCTTATATTGAAATAAATAACGCTATTCGTTTGGTGAGTTAAGATAAACTGGTTTATAGTATTATCATTACTTACAATATTACTTGTTACATCATACAAACTTAGAGAAATCTAAATAAATTTATCAATCAATTCACGTTTAAGTTGATGGATTAACGGTAATTTTAAATGTTAGTGAAAAATTCTTATATTCTTAAAATAATACAGGTTATTGAATGAGTTAACTTTACAGGCAGAAATAACATACATTATGAAGATGGTTTACATTATGATCTGATTTAAATTAGACAACAAATGAACAATACTGATCACTGAATCTCATAATTGTTATAGTTTTTATACGTACAGAATCAGTTGATCAGGTCTTCAGTAGGGTTCAAACTTTTATATCGTATAGTGAACCTTTAATTTATCATAAAATAATTCATATTTTATACTTCAGTTAGTTTTCAACGCCATGTGAATGATAAATAAAGATGAAAGGCGGTTTTGTCTATGCTCTAATAGCTATTTGACCTTAGTTTAAGAACTATACATATTGTATACTTTTAGCACATAGAATTCGTCAGTTCTTCTTGTATGTACCCGGTTGTTAAGATGACATGAGATGTTAAAAAATGGTATTATTTTTAAAAGTAACTGCTTAATGATTTTATTCATTTATATAAATGTCTTTTATTTATACCTTGAAATTGTGTTATGTACAGAAATTCATAAACGATTATTACTATCCATACCATAAAATCAAATCTATTCTATAATAATTTATATTATTGGTTGCTTCTATTTATAGTTTAGTTTTACACTTTTACTCTCATTTCTATTACATATTAATACCTAGTGAAAATTTTTAATTTTAAATTTACCTAAAAAAACTATAAATTATTTATTTTAGTTATCAAGTTCGAATTACACAGGTCTGGTGTGTGACGAAATCTTAGTACGGATACAAAAGGATCGACTAGCTTTTGCCAAATCGCATCGTTTATGGCGTAGGCGAGATATCCGTCTATCAACCAAAGGACGTGTTTACTGCGCAGCAGTTCGGTCCGTTCTACTATATGGCAGCAAAACATGGCCGGTAAGAGTAGAGAATATTTGTAGGTTACTAGTATTCGATCATAGGTGTCTTCGAAACATTGCTCGTATATCCTGGGACCACCGAGTATGTAACTCAGTTGTTAAGAAACGGGTACAAGGTGAGGATGGAAAATCAATTGATAAAGTAGTGAAACTTAATCACTTGAGATGGCTGGGACATGTGTTATGTTTGCCCAACCACCGACTGCCCCGAAGTGCGATGTTTTATAGTGTAGGAGTAGGTTGGAAGAAAGCTAGGGATGGCCAGACCAAAACATGGCACAAATCCATGAAGTCACTGACAGGTGGACTGAGCCATGTTGGTAGGTGCAGACTACCTGGTTGGGGTCCGTGAAACGATAGCAACCGATGATTAGAGACCCTGAATGACATGGCTCAAAATGGTTTGTAATGGTGCAGGTGCATCCACTCTTTGTGTTCTCCCAAATTCTAATCTACTGAATTCTTCATGTCACTTTCCTTTTCCTCTTTCTAAATAAATTCATTACTCCAAGAATTTTTTCTGTTAAAGCAGTATTAAATTTCATTAAACATGGAAGATAATGATTACTGGCAATAATCGATTTGTGCTGACTTATCTACTCGATATGATGCTACTTTCAAGGAAACGATCATAAACAACATTGTTAAAACAAGATATTTTAACGTATCAATTATTCGTATATACTATTTGAATTCATGAGTCGATTAAAGCTATACCACCTTGGAAAACATGGAAGCACTAGACGGTCTTTTCGTCCTAGTATGAGACTATTCAGTAGTGTGCATTCACAATCCCACTCATGGGATTAGAGCCAAGGACCTTAGGTCTAGCGCTCGAACAGTTTATCTCTAGACAATCGACCTGAAATCCAACAGTGTTTGTGTCTAACATCAATTAATCCACGAAATTGCGCCATCGTCCACCATTGTCTTCAATGAGTTACTGTCTCGCAGTAGACATGGTTGAACTTCATTGGTCACGGCTTCTTATTAGAGCTCCAAGAAATACCTCTTGAAGCGTGCGAGACCGAAAATCTCGCGAGCGGGATTGTGGATGCGCACTACAGAGTAGTCCCATACTAGGACGAAACGACCTTCTAGGTTTTCCATGCTTGTCTATTTTAAGTCGACTCATCAATTCAAGTATTAAATTTCTACAATCTCCATAAAATCCCTTTCCAAACGTATACACATTGAAATAGCTATTGCATTGGATCAATTATTATATGTTTACCAGCTAGCAAAACTGTGCTATGTTTTCTTTGTTACGAACTGATTTTAGTGATATTTTTTCTGACTTTGCTAAGCATTTAATATTTTGTACAGTTGTAATGGGAAGTAATTAGACTTGTTTTAATTGTATGTTTTCATTTGAACTATTCAGTTCACCATTAGATTTGATTGAACTATCTTGAATTCCTTCTATATTTTTAGTGAGCTATTGAGTAAAGAGAATCACAGATGGTTTTCCTGTTAGCTCTTCACCTGTGTTCATATTTAGTGCACTTCATTATGACTGTTAATGGTGATCGCTTGTACCGGTTTTAAACTACAATTGTGATCTAACTCACTAAATTTGAACTCAGTATTTATGAGGACTACAATCAGACATCTTTAATGATTGAATGCCTACAGTTAAACGTATTCTCTATCTTTTGTCCTATCAAAATCAAGTTATCCCTAAAATTTTGTGTACTGAACCCCTTTTTTAAGGTATTCGTTATTCTTTAGAGATATATTCTCTATTAAAAATTTTACTCATCATAAAGACTGTCAGAAATTGTGAATCCACAATTTTGTGGTACTACTTACTTTTGACTCAGATGTTCCACTGTAACATTAGGACGTGAGCATTTATTAATGGCTTCATCGTTGACAACAGGAAAACAAAATTCTTTAC